GGATGAAGGGGAAGGGCTGGCGTCTCGCGCGCCTGCGCCGCGGCTTGTTTGTGTGCGTGCGGGGGAAGGGGGGGACAGCGCGGTTCCCGCCTCCTTCGTCGGTGCCGGCTCCGCCTCTCGCGGCCTCTCCCATTGGGTGGGAGGAGAGACGTTCCAGCCAATCAAAGGGGGTCCTGTTCAGTGGCGTTAGATGTTCAGAGGCGGGGCGTGGGAGGGCTTTGGTTCTCCCGGGGAATTCTGGGAGTTGAAGTCCACGCTTCCTTCAAAGGAGTCCTTCAAAGGTGCTTTGGAATGAACGCCTCGTTACAAAACTTAATCGTGATTGGATGTTAGCCTGCAAGGGTTGGCCCCTCCCACACCTGCATCAGAAGCTGCTGGCATCTCTCGGAAGCCAATGCAGAACAATCATCCAGGTGAGGCTAAATCCACTTCCCCACCAAAGGATGCTATTACAGGTGATCTTTCATTTACAATAATTCATTTAGTGGCGTTCGAAGTTACGATGACACTAAAAAAAAAAGTGAGATGGCCACTTTTCGCACTTATGACCGTTGCAGCACCCCCAATGATTAACATTCCAATGCTTGACAACAGGTTCATATTTATGACCAAGTCCCGGGATCCTCTTTTGTGACCTGATAAAAGGCAATGGGAAAGCCAGATTCACTTAACAACGGTGTTACTAAGTTAAACAATTGCAATGATCTCCTTAACAAACGAGGCAAGAAAAGTTGTAAAAGGGGGCAAAACTCAACTAATGTCTCACTTAGCAACTTAAATTTTGAGCTCAATTGTGGTCGTTGAGAGCTACCTGTATATTTAGACGCATTGAAAATACCTGCTAATGTCCTCTACCTGGTGTACCACAAAAGTGAGAACAAGGTGCTTTATTTAATACAGAGATGGGAATATTTTGCCCCTCTGGGATGCAGTTCTGTAACAGATGATGCAAATATCTACAGTAGGCTTACATATTACATCTGTCTCGCCCTTGTCCTGAAATTATGCTCCAGGGAAGAAAACTGTGAATGAAGGAATCCTTGAGCAGCATCATGATGTCCATTATAATATAGTTTTAATACAAGAAGTAAAGCTGCTTTTCCTAACATACAATATTCAGTAAATGTTCAGTCTCCCAGATATCCCTAACTTGGGAATTTTTCAGCCCCAGCGGATGTGGCCAGTGCCCATCTGGTTTTCATGATTGCTTAATTCTTTTCAACTTATTTCTGGACATTTTTTTTAGGCAAGCGTTCCCTCTAGCTAAATCTCAAGCATGTAACTGGAAACTCACAGAACATACACCTTTTGAAGAGACCTGTCATGTATTTTGCAACCCTGGTTTGTCAAAAACTTCCTCCAATAATACATGGGTTGAAGGGATTTAATTCCTTCAAAATGAATGCAGAATTAATTACCGCATTGTCAATTTTTGTTGGGTTGTGACAACTAAGGTGCATCACAAAAAGGTATTTTCTGTGATGATCCAAAGGGACGTGGCACAAAAACACAGTCAAATAATCAGTAGGAGTCCCTTTATTAGCTCCAACTTTGTCCCCAATGTCCTGGTTACCTTCTGGGTGGAGAAAAATTCTCCCAGGAACAGCCTTTGGCTGCAGAGAATCAAATCCAAAACGTGGTCAACAAAAACTATAAGTCCAATCAAGGCAAAATGAGGTAATTAGTTCGGCAGGGCAGGAAAAATAATTCCAGATGTGAAGGCATGGTAATAACATGGTTGGGAAGATGCCAGGAACACAGATAAGCAAAGTCAACACAAAATAAACTCACATTTGCTCCCAGCAGCTGCCGCACTCAGCATGCATTTCTTTTAAACTCTTCCCAGGTGTGGCTAATGAAGGGAATCAGGGCCCTTTCCTCCCCCGTAAGCCATGCAACCCACCCACGTTGCTCTCTTCTCCATTCCTCCCTGTGTGCCCTAGGATGAAGAGGGGGTGGGCCTGGTTCTTCCTCTGAACTCCCTTGTTCTACTTCTTCCCTGCTCTGCCCAGCCGGACTTTGCCGTTCCCCAGTTTCCTCCACAGCCAACTGAGCCATACTCCCACTCCCTGTCAGCTGTTTGTCTTTCTCCTAGGATTCAGACTGCAACAGGGGCATGACATTTTCAATGTCGTGAGACCAACATCATGGGTTGTCAAAGAATATGTTTAATAAAAAATAATTAAACTTCCATTTGCTCTATAGAACATCATAGAAAGTAATTCAATAAATTACAAATAACTTTTAAGACGCTTGTTCAACTACAAGAAAGCAAATTCAGACTACACAGAACACAACTGGCAAATATTGCAAAATGTTCAAGGAAAAAAAAAACAGGACGAAGACGGATCATGAAGCCCAAAACAAAGAATAGGAATACAAGGCAATAACAACTAAAGTTATTTTAGTCACTACCAACATACACTTCTTCATCATCCTGGATATTTGTACTGAAATTTCAGTATTAATGTAATTCTAATGAAGATTCTTAACGATTCGTTATGCAGCCACACTTGCATATTGTTTTAGCTGACAAGAGTGCGTACTTCTCTTCTTGCCACTGATACTGATTTAAAAACAATCTTTACTTCGTATTCATACTGCTGAAACTTTAAAATTGCCTTATTGTAGACAAAGATCACTAGAATGGTAAGCAAATTCACCATAATTAGGAAAATACTTTATTTCATAAATTTATTAAAAATTATGCTTAGGGTTTTCTTTCATGGGCAGGTATGTTGGGGGGTGGGATGGTACAAAGTGGTATTGTTTAAATACTCATTGACTAAGTCAACAATTGTGTTTGGAAAACTTTGGCTATATTGTGGATAACATACAAGAAACAAAAGTGCTATATTACAAAGGGCGAAATATTAAATATGTAGTAATCATGATGAAAAATTGCTACCTCTTTCCTCGTGACATGTTTTGACTATTGCTAAGACACTGTATGAAGGACCAAACAAGTCATACTATTCTGAGAGGGAAATACAATAACCAGCACAATTCAAATGATACTTTTATAACTGTAAATTTACATGTAATACTGCCTTCTACCCAAGGGAGTTACGGTTTTGCATGTACAAATTTTGTTTTTATTGATAAAAGATTTGGTAAAAAAAACCCAACACAGTCTTGTTTACTGTACAAGCAAGCAAACAGAACCATATCAAAATACAGCTTTTGTTAAATTATTCCCTTTTGAAGAGGTTTGTCATTGACTATACTGCCAGTATGTTTTATCCATTCCATCAACCTTTTTTTTTTTTTGCCTATTTTGGACCTCAAATGAGATTAACACAATCTCACACTTCATCTCAGTCAGTTCCACCATGTGGTGTGAATCTATGATTCTACCATGTCAGAGTAATAGCAGCTTCAGCAAAATAATAATAATAAAATAATAATAATAATAATAAATCCTACCACACTTCAAATGTTAAGATTAATTCTACATAGTAAGGTTCTAAGGATTTATCTTCAAACAGACGCTTTTAAGCACTGTTTATATCATGGTTTCATGGTATACTTTTCTCACATTATCATTAAAAGTGCTTTAAAAGTTACAGGGCAACTCAGCATTATTATAATTATCCAATATACCCTAAACCTTGATTTGGGGGAGGGGGAGAGATGTGTGTGTGTATACATATATATATACATGCACACACATACATATATATACACATATACATTATATATGTATGTGTGTGTGTGTGTGTGTGTGTATATATACATACACACACACACACATATACATATATATATGTATACACACATATACATACACACACACGCATATGTGCATATACATATAGACATACATATATACGTACATATGCATGCACATATATTTCTCAAGCCTGTAAAAATGTGAGATTTTAAAATGTCTACATTTCCCCTTACCATTATGAACTGGTAACTACAAGAGGTTACACGACAAAGACGAAATAGAAACTTGGACAAACAAAGCGAACAGTATTAACTTGGCAAGGATCTGAGTAGATCCTTGAAGTATGCAGTGTTTAGAGTGGCACTTCTGAGTTATTTCCACATGTGGATATGACGCCTCAACAACACGAAGGCTGCAGATGGAGCGAAACTTAAAATCAGTACCCATGGTGCTGAAGACAGGAAAGGGATAATTTAAATAAAAGCTTTCCCTTTGCTAGAAGTAAAAAGAGTGCAACTGGTAATAATAAACTTCCCGTGCCAAATTTTAACACACGCAGGAGGCTTTTGAAAAAGCGAAGCATATAGGAAAACAAGCAGAGAAACCAATGTAAACTTTCTAAACTAACTCAGCTGAGGTAACAAGTAGCCAATTTCATTGGCTGAATGGGAAACTTTTTTTTTTTTATTATTTCACACACAGTTGTACCTGAACTGGGAACATCAACAGTGCATTATAACACCAGATCATTTCCATAGAATTAAAGCAATGGATGGTGATGTAGATTCTACAGCTTTCATGACATTCATTAGCTGCCCAAATTATTGCTGAGTTTTGATCTGTAAATTATAAGTGTCAAGGAGGCTGTAAAACTATATTCAGATTAAATCAATAATGCGCATAAAGAACTGTGTTCACCGCAAATATATTAAATATACAGCTCTTACTTAGCTTTCTTTTAAAAAAATTACTCCTCCCACAACCCAAAATTATAATGCCTTTTTCCTGTAATTTTTCTTCTTCTTATTTTTACACCATTGTGTATATTTTGATAGTACACAGAATTTCAGGAACTAAAGGAACCTCGAGAAATATTACATGCAAAATGTTTTGTTTTTTTTTGAAAGCAGTTTGCACTTCTAAACAATACTGAAATGTTCCGGTCAGTAAATTACTGATGCACTCACGCAACACTGTGTTATTTACAACAAAATAATGAAAGAACAACTTGAAAACCAGTTTATAATTTAAGTGCAGAGCCTGGGGATGGTGTGGGGTGATGGGGGAGAATCAGTCTTCATCGCTGGAGTCTGAATCGTCCGAGGAGGAGGACGTACTGTCACAGCCAGAAGACGCGTCTGCCTTCTCCGAAGCTTCGTCTGTGCTGTTTCCGGTGCGAGAGCTCGGCTCGGTTTCCCCCTTGCCGCCTTCTTCATCTGGAACCCTGGAATTTTCTTCCCTCTCTCCCAGAGGCTTGGTGAAGCCTGTGCCATGATTTTCACTGTTCTGTACATCAAAAATATTCGACTGGGACAAAGCTGGGATATGGAGATTAAGGCCTGGCGTGAGAAGCATTCCTGGGTAAAGTATATTGGACAAGAGTAAAGGGTTAAGAGCCAAGGAGCTGGCCGTGGTGCTGGCTGCCGAGGAGGTCGAAGGAGAACCCGAGACGGAGTTTTCTCCACCATTATGTGCACGGGAGCTTTCTGTCCTCTCTTGCTTTCCGTCCAGCTCTCTAGAGTCCTGCCCTTTCTTCTCCTCGCAAGCAGGTTCAGTAGACTTGGTTAGGAGTCCTCGCATGCCGAGCAAATTTGGTAAACCAGCCATTCCTGAAAGTAACATGGGAAAGACGGCGGCCATGTTTTTTGCGTCGCCCGCCGTGTTCAGACCGGCAGATATTCCCATTAAACCCGTGGTCACCTGTAACGACTGAAAGTTTTGCAGGTTTTGCTGTAAGGCCTGCAAGGCTGAGAGATCCACCCCTGGGAGTAGCCCGTTGGTCAGCAAAGGGGTGACTGGAACATTGGCTGCTGACGTTGCCGAAGCCGTGGCCTTGGCAATCTCACTTTTAGGCCGTCTTCCTCTCCTGCTGACTTCTTCTCGAACGACAGGTCCTGTGAGAATGCGGTCGAACATGCTTTCTGGAAGAAACCCCTGGTGGGGAGTGGGAAAAAGAATTGAACAATTTTATTCCGTGCCATTGTCTGCTCTGCATCACGATTTGGTGCAACACCCTAATAAGTAAAATAAGCAACACTAAGCTAATACAAAGTTACATTCATTATCTCGGGAATCTTCAAGGAAAGTCAATGTCATTTCCAAGTCCGACAATTTAAGACCTAATTTTTTTTTTTTATGGCTGTTGGTTGCTTTTGTCAGCAGAGCAAGGCTCAAGATTTTTGGCTTTTCCCAACCAGCTTTAAAAAAAAGGCTTTAAAAAATATATATGTAAATATACCATGGAGAAGATTGATATGTAAGGATAAAAGATATTATCTATAGCAAGAGTAAGATGTAATGGTAAAGGAATAAGTAAATACATATACTGAAAAATGTGAGGAGATGCAAAAGATGTCTTGATGTTGATAACAATGTATAAAGTTTTATTTTATGTTTTAAAAATTTGAAAACTTAATAAAATTTATTTAAAAAAAGGCTTTTCAATGATTCAGTTAATTTAGCTGCGGGAACATCTATTCATTATTATACTCACCGACTGCTTAACAACATCTGCCCATTCAGGAGCTACACCATATTCGGAATTTTCCTTTAGGAATCTGCAGAGGTCTTTCAGAGGAGGAGCGAAGGCACCACCTACCTGTAACAGGAACAAGAAGGATATTTCTCAGTTCAGGTAGTCCTTGACTTAACAATAATTCATTTAGTGAGCGTTCGCGAAGTTACATCAGCCCCGGAAAAAAGCAACTTCTCTCTGCTTTTCACACTTATGATCACTGCAACATCCAGTGGATCACATGGTCAGAATTCAGACACTTGGCAACTGGCATGTACCTATGACAGTTGCAATGTCCCATGTGATCCCCTTTTGTGACCTTCTGACAAAGTCAATGGAAGAGACAGATTCACTGAACAATGAACAACTGCAGTGATTCGCTTAACCATGGCAAGAAAAGTTGTAAAACGGAGCAAAACTCACTTAACAAATGTCTCACTTAGCTAACAGAAATTTGGGGCTCAATTTTGATAGTAAGTCGAGGACTACCTGTATTGAAAGAGCCTAGCAACTATTTGTGCTGATATGATCACTGAAGCAAAGCAATTACCTTTCTAGCATTTCTTCTATTTATCAGCTGAACACGTTCTTCCCCAGTAAGGCTATTGATGTCCAGCTTATTAGGGTTGCGGCAACGGTGCCTTTTTTGTTTTGGTCTTCCTTCGTGAAGCTGCATTTTCTGTTATTCAAGAATTAAAAATAATAATAATGGGTCACTAAGTGCTCTCAAATCTGTTTCCAAGTATTACCAGGCGGCAGGATGGAACTAAATTCCATGGATTCCACCGAGACTTAAATGCAGAGTATTTATGCAGCATAACGCAGTTGATATTGAATTTCGTAAGTTAAATAGTTCCAAACAGGCAAAACCCAATTACGTCTATATTTGCTCACAATTAAAAATCTACATTGAAAGATGTGAATCACACAGAAGGCAGGATAAATTCAAAGACCGCACCAGACGTGCAAAAGAAAAAAAGACACTCCTTTCCATCACACCAATAAAACTACTTACGGGGATAAAGGCTCCTAAATCTTCGACATAGTCAGGATGTTCATTGAGCCATTTTTCCAAATCTTTTCTCTTAGGGGCATCGTCGCCCGCCAGCCTTGTGCCATCTTTTAAATTAATAACTGGAACAGGGCTTTCCACATCACACAGGCCTTGCGATGGTGCAAACGGAAGAGGGGGCATTATGCCTAGACCAACCTGAGGGGTATTAACACTGTGACAAACCTGAAAGAAAATAAATAGGTTATAAACACGAGGAAAGGCACTTTGCAATTACACGCTCGTTTTTTTTAGTTCTGCAAATGTAAAAATCTCCTTCACAAGCACACCCACACAAACAAGACAAATCCAAAGTTGAGGATGAGGCATGTTGTTTGTTTCTAAGGGCTAATGCCAAAATTAATATGACATGTTAGTTATGCGGCATATTCCCAAATTCCTTCTGGTCAGTCTTAGGATGCCAAAGCCCTCAAATTTAACATTTCCAATTGGCTTCAAATACCAGTCTGGATTTACTCACGTGGTTAGGTGTTTTGTTTCTATTTAAAAATAAGATATCAACTCCTTCCACATTTTTTCTTCTTCCTCTCCTCTTTTTCACGGCTGGCTGATCGCTGTTAATTACTCCATTTGCACAAGCGTTCGACTGCTTAGAGGTTCCTAATGAAATGGAACATACAATTATCAGCTGAAAGAAAAACAAAACTGATCAAACTTCCAGACAGAATCTATGATGGCAAGAAAAATCGGGCTGTGCAATTGATTTGGCAAGCAGTTGTCTAAAACATAGAAATGCAAGGGTAGCATTTTTTCCTGGAAATTATTGTTATCATCCCAGCCTTTTTCCAGAATTATGTGACTGCTGCAGGGTTACTAAGGAAGCAAGAATATAAATCTGAATTTAAAATTAACATTTTCAAAAATTACTTGCAGAATCAGCTTTCATTTTTCCAGTTACTTTCTGGGGTGCCAGGCTTGGCAGAACACACACACACACACACACACACACACACACAATGAATAGCTGTTATGGGGTAGAGTGATTTGGTGCCTCTTATCACTGTTTTTTTTGTTGTTGCAAGGATTGGGGCGTGGAAGGAGGGGATACATGTCAACAGGTTTAGCCACACCAAGGATCTTTTCAACACTGACAATACTCTGGCTGTCTCGGTGATGTGGTTTCCACCTGTTTTTCTGTGTCAGTTATTTTACAAGTATGCTGACTCATATAGCGCTACGTACACTGGTAGTTACATAAAAAGAGAGAGAGAGAGAGAGAAAGTAACTTTGCTGTCACCCATTTTTTTTAAAAATCATAAGGAAGTACAAGGCAGGTTGGTGGCTGGCCACATGAAAGAAGCTGAGAAAGTTCAAAGGAAGATTAGCCTTGACACCAAAGTAGCACTGATAGCCACAGAGATAATAAATCCATTAGTTGGCTATTCGTAATAACACTGAAGTTCTATCACACCAGTCACCCCCATTTTGGTATTCTGTGTGTGTGTGTGTGTGTGTGTGCGTGTGAGAGAGAGACAGACAGACAGAAAGAGAGAGAGAAAGAGAGAGAGAGAGAAAGAGAGGGAAAGGAAGAAAGAGAGAGAAGGAAAGGAGAGAGAGAGAGAGAGGGAGGGAGAACATGCAGCACTTTATATTGCCTGAAACTTTCTATGAAAAACCAGTGAATCTTTGTGGGACTTTTCAAAATGCTACGAAGTACTTTAAAGCTACAAGAGCTTATGACTCAGCTGAGCTTTCCGAAGTTTCTCATATCCTATGAAACTACTGTAAAATACAGCAATAAAAAGTTACAACCACCATTTCATCACTTTCTTGATAGCTTTGGACCTTACCCGACTCTGGCAAAGACTTTGGGAAATTGGCAAGGCTGGTCTCCGAAGCATTCTGGAGCTCATGTAGCCTGGCGAGGTACTGTTGCTGCCCTAACAGGCCATCTTCGCTTTCAAATGGCCTTTTTTGGCAAAGGCCCTGCTTCTGAAAAATCAATTTCAAACCACCTTCCTGTTGAGGAAATATTAAAGAGTTAGCCGATTTCGTTGGGAAGAAGGAAGGATTTTTTTTGCTCCTTAGGATTTACATGCAGAATTTTATATCCAGGCCCCCTCACCCCATTCCCACATGACAATACAGGTAGTCCTCGGCTTAAAACCATTAATTTAGTGACCGTTCAAAGTTACAATGGCATTGAAAAAAGTGACTTAGGACCTTTTTTCCACGCTAATGACCCTTGCAGCGTCCCATCACATGATCAAAATTCAGGCGCTTGGCAACTGGCGTGTATTTACGATACTTCCAGTGTATCGGGAGTCACGTGGTCCCCCCTTCTGTGACCTCCTGAGAAGCGAAGCCAACAGGGAAGCCCAATTCACGTAACAACCGCGTTTGCTAACTTAACGCCTGCAGTGGTTGACTTAAGAACTCCCTCGCTTAGGAACAGAAATGTTGAGCTCAGCTTGTGGCTGTAAGTCAAGGACTGCCTGTCTGAACAATTGCATTGAGCCAAGTTTTTGATATCAAATGCATTAGATAACTTCTATGAACGTGCATCAAAAGTGGAAATCCATAGATATCACAGAGACCAAGCTGGAAAGAGGTTGAATTAATTCATCATGTGTGTTACCTGCTAACTCCAGTGTGTAGAAACCTAAGGAGCTATGGAAATGATTCTGATGGTTTGAGAATTCGAAATCGTAATTAATCAAAAACTCCCCCCCCCTTGTTTTTTTAAATAAAAAAGATAATTCTAAGATAAAAAATGCCATACTTTGGAAAGTAATTACAGGCGCTAGAAAAAAAGCACTGAGAAAGGCCATTCAAGGAAGCAAGTCATCAGCAAAGACTGCAAAAGAGCAAGAAATGATGCCATGGGGTTGCCAGGTCTTTGAAAACGAGATTCTCAAAAGAGAGAGATAGAGGGGAAGGAAAAAAAAAATGCTTCAAAATTGCTGCTCCAAAATACCCGCAAGTATTTATGCCGAGGAAGTAAGATTGAGAGCAGGCAGCCACTTGTAGGTAAAGCATGCTGCACACCGCAATCGCAATCAGGTCCTAGGGCAATAAAAATAAACATACGTCATTGATTTTCACTGTAAACTCCTTTTCCTGCACATGCTTCTTCACCTTTGACATCTGTGCTGACTGGTCGCTTTCTTCTTTAACGTCTGCGCTCGGGGGAGTCGGGAGGCCGGGCTCGCTGTAATCTGCAGCGGCACCTGGGCTGTCCAGAAGCTTGGTGGTGTAGAAGGAAGCCACGGGATTGCTCTCGTAATTCCTCCTTGCCAAAGGCCATTTGCCTTTCAGGACCGTTTGGCAAATGCTATCCAGGCGGTTAATCATTACCCGATCCTAAAAACAAACAGGAGGCGGCTTAGAAATTTTAGAAATCCTCTCTCTCAGGATTAACGCGACTTGCAAACAATCGGTGTGTAACGGTCAAGAGAAAGAAGGGCTCTGATCAATTTAGGGGAATTTCTTTCCTGTTGTACCACAAAACTACCCTAAAGAGAGATTACAGAGTGTACCCAGTCAAAGGGACGAAAGCACACAAATGTTGCTAATAACCACTTGTCTGAAATGCGATAGGTTTTCCTGCTTGGACTAGATACACATTAGATACAGATTAACAGAATTGGAAGGGACCTTGTAGATCATCTAGTCCAACCCACTGCCCAATCAGGAGACCCTGCACCATTTCTGATAGATGGCACTCCAATCTCTTCTTGAAGGCTTCCAAGGATGAAGCTCCCACAACTTCTGTTCCGTTGGTTTCATCTGAAAATTCCTCCTTATATCTAGATTGAATCTCTCCTTGATCAGTTTCCATCCATTGTTCCTTGTCTGGCCTTCAGGAGCTTTGGAAAATAGCTTGACCCCTTCCTCCTCTCTGTGGCAGCCCCATAAATATTGGAGCACTGCTATCCTGTTCCCCCTGGTCTAGAAGACCTCCAAGGTCCTGTCCAACTCTCTTATTTTCTTTTTTCAAACTACAAAAAGTCACATGATTTTTAACTTGAAGTGAAAATGTTTTAATCTCCATTTCATGACAGTAAGCAGTTGGTTACAACTTTACCTTGGGCCAGTAGGAAGCAGCTAACATATATCCACCGTGTAAGATACAATTAGAATTTGGTGTTCCATTATTCATTTGGAAACTGTCCTGGGTTTCATCTTGCATGGTGCTTATAGAAGCCACACTTTCTTCATCGTATGCTTTCAAGTGAGGCGTTCCTTCCCCTGGAGGAAATGTTGGATAATCAGTAACAATACATGCCCTTCTGGCTATGCAGAGGCTTGACGGGCACATTTACACAACAAAGCTTCCTAGCACTTCCTGCCACCGAATTGTGAAGGACATACAAATAGTCCTCAATGTCTAGGGCAGCGGCGGCTAACCTTTTTGGGCTCCTGTGCTGAAAATTGCGCGTGCGCTTGTGGGCACGCGCTTGCATGCCAGCACCCAGAAGGCAGTGCGTGTGGCCCTCCCACACCCCCTGTGCATGCGCACGTGAGATGCCCCCCGCCACCCCTTTACCTGCACTGCACATGCATGCGCCTCCCAGCTGATTTTTGGTCCGTTTGAGGCATTTTTCTGGAAATACCGGAAGTGATGAAACGGGCCTGTTTTTCGGCCTCCAAAGGCTGCAGAGGCTTCCCTCGAGCCTCTGGGAGGCCGAAAAAGGTCTCGTATTGGCTGAAAATCAGCTGGGAGGTGCATGCATGCGCAGTGCAGGTAAGTTTGGCTGGGGCTCGCGTGCCCGCACAAATGGCTCTGCTATAGGTTTGCCATTACGGGTCTATGGAGATTCGCTATCACCCAGGTCAGGGGTGGGATTCTACCGGTTCACACCTATTTGCTAGTACCAGTTGTTAACATTCTAAGCAGTTTGGAGAACCGGTTGTTAGAAGAAATTACTGGCCTAATCCTGTAAGGAAGGCAGGAAGGAAACATTCTGGTGTTGCTTACAGAAATTGCCTCTCCGATAACCCTTATTACATTCTTGGCGGGACTAGACTTCCTGTCTCTGGAACGTCTCTGGAGTTTTTTCCCCCTCCTTTGCTGGTACTTTGCTTGTGTGGAGTGACCATTCAAAGTTACAATGGCACTGAAAAAGTGACTTATGACCCTTTTTCACACTTACGACTGTTGTAGCATCCCCAGAGTCATGAGAGGCCAGGCAAGGAGATGCGTGCCTCGATGTGAGTGATATTGAGTTGGTCACATCCAGCCAGTCACATGACCACCAAGCCATGCCCACCACCTAACACTGAATGAATGGCATTTCTCAGTGGTAGCACCAGGGCCAGGCCTTACAGGAGAGGCACCCCTCATGCTCCTTATCTGACACTCCATCTGCTTAACAACCTGTGAGATTGCTTAATAACCAGGACATGAAGCGAGGTGACAATGACCACCTTGCTCAGTGACTGAGCTTCTGGTGCCAATTGAGGTGATAAGTCAAGGACTATTTTGTAAATGAATATTGCATGACAGATGACGGAAATTAAGTTAGGAAGAATTGACTTGAGATGCAGGACAATAATAACAGTAGCACCATTTTTTTAAATCAAAGGACAAATGATGCCTGTCCTGCTATACACAAACAATATCACAATTATAAGAAAAATTCGAGAATTTGATCATCACATAAAAATGGGCATGGGAACATTCAAGAAAGGAGATTAAATTGCACTGATGAATGTTTCCTTCTAGCTACAAAACATTCTACCAATTTCTTTTGCAAGTCATCTAGGAAAGTAGAATGTGGCTTAAATTGCTGGTGATTATATCAGAAAATCTTAGCTCCATACTTAATTTTTTCTTACTGGATAGAACCATAAAAAATTATTAACTAGCTACTAATATATTGTCTTTGTAAATACATAATTACCTAATCTTTTTTGCTCTATAAAAGTTATTTTTAAAGAGTAAAAATCATTCTACTGGAAGAAAGATGACTTCATAAGAGGATTCTTTGTTTTGCAAAGAGATTATATACACCGTGAGCATAAGGATTTTGTTTGGACTGATCTGGAACTTATTTTCTCTTTCACAAACACTATGAAGTTAGAATGCAGATATTCTTCTGATTGTGAAGCTTTCTGGATCTCACGTTGCAATTTCTAAAGGTGCATTTCTATATCCATATATAGAAAATGTACAAATTTTCATGTGAATTAAAGGAACTACCTTATATCAAAAGAGAATTCTCATTCTGTTCTAGAAATAGGGTTACAGACTATGTCAAATGTTTTCCTTATTCTTAAGCAAGATTAATTCCACCACCCCCGCCGTTTGATTAGTCTTTCTTTGTTTTTCTAAAAGACACTATCTGAAAATCTGTGACAAGTAGTTTATGTCTTTCTCTGAATCAGCTTCCGAGTTTAAAAAAAAAAGGCACTTACGTCTCTTTTGTGCCTCTTCTTCATCACTGTCACTCTCTTCCGACGAAGAGGAAGAAGAGGAAGAGGAAGACGAGGAAGAAGAGGAAGAGGAGGACGACGATGCTGAAGAACAAGATGAAGAAGATGAAGAGCTGGACCCTGATCTGGAACGAGAGCAAGAGGAAGAAGACGACGATGAAGATGAAGATGATCTGGAAGAACAGGACGATCTCTCTGAATCGGAGTCTGAATCAGAGCTAGAGTCTGATCCTCTCTTTTCAGATCTCGGCTTTTTGGAGGCAGCATTTAGCGTTAAGGGTTCGGTCCTCGCTGCCACCATGCGCCTGTCGTGCTCTGCCTTCGGAACAGGCTTGGGGTCTGCAGCATGTGAGGGTGAGCCACTCTTCGGGCTCGACGGCTCTGCCTTCACTCCCAACTGCACGTTTTCAGTAGACATGGGCTCTTCGTCTGAAGAATGAGGTTCCTTGTGGTTTTCGTCCTTAGGTTTTGTGTCCTCCAACACGTTCCCCTTGGCGTCTGGCAGCCTGGCTTGAGGCATGAGAGGAGAGGCTGACAGCGCCATCTGGTACTGTTGCAAGAGAGGAGTAGAAGTCCTTGGAAGGGCCGCTTTGCTGTGACTGTAGTTCCTCTGAGCTGACATAAAGGAGAGTTCAGGATCGCGGAGGATGTGGTAATCTGTCCTGCTAACTCCGTGTTTCGCGGCACCAACCAACAAATCCCAATCATGGGTCCCACATTCCCACCAAACGGGCAAGTCTGGATTTGGCTGACAAAGTTTTAATCGCTCACAGAGCTGAGGATGACGGACAGCTTGCTCTCGTACCTTTCTGAGGAGCTCGATACGATATAAGGTTCGAGATGCACGCTCTTCTGTGATTGGCTGGATGAAAAGGTTTGAATCCACAAAGTCTGCACAGGAAACACACAAAAAGACTTATGACTTGTCACCAGGTCTTCTAAGTTCAGTTGGAATCTGGGACATTAAATGTGCTTTATTTTTTAAGAAAGTGTTGTTTATCTATGCCCCCCCCCCCCCCCCCCGCCCCAAATCTCTTTTTCTTTCAGGGAAGACTTAATGCTATCTACTAAGGTACAACAAATCTAGGAGCTACCACTTTCCTTGGGGGAAGAATTTCTAAACATTACAATATATCAAAACATGTATTTCCTGATGTAGGATTTCTGTCCTCGGGCAACTTTTCAGGTAAGTGTTATATGGTTGTATTGCTCCTAAATCGGTTTTTCTTTCTTTTGGGGGGGAGGCGGGGGAGAAGGAAAGTATTATAAGCAACCCACCATCTTTTGAAGGTAGGCGACAGACTCTCCTGCACATGGCCATGAACGCATACAGATATTTCTCTAAACTTTCGTCCGTTTTTTTATGCAGCCTCGCCATCGCTCGGAATTTTGTCCAGTCAAACTGGGCTCTGCCTGGATCAAATACTACGCCAAAAGTAGACACCACTCTGTAGAAATCAGCTTCTTCTCTTCTTGTCCACCTAGATGGAAGGGCAAAGGGGAACACTGATTGCAAACGAACCATTTTCCCAGAATACCATGGAGACATCAGAAGACTTTTTGAGATCTGCAATAATCGCAGCCTACCTTTGCTGCCTTTCAATTTTGGCAGCCACTTTTGGATTTAAAACAGTTTCTTCAAAGGCAGATGGCATCACGCAAGCCTGGACAGAAAATGGTGCTTGAATTGGCTGGCATTGCCTGCTCTTACTGGTACGCTGATATGCTGTTATGAGACGACGCAACCGTGTTGTTAAGGCAGACTGCGTTGGCCAGTAAAGCTTGTCTCCCTCAATCATCTGACCATCTATAATTGAGAAAGATGACTGTAATAATTGGTGTTGGTTTACCACATTAAGTATCAAACAAAATGGAAGGTTGCATTTCAGAAGCACAATTGTTGAAGTAGAAAGTTAAAACTGTGAGATTTTACCTCCATCTCCTATTACAAGATCCCCAGGCGATGAGGCATCATCCTAAGAAATAACATTCAGAATGCAAAATGAACAGAAGCACAATTCAGTTGCAATATATGCCATATTTTGAAGTTGACTCAACACACCAAAAGCAGCAGCAACTTAAAAGTTAACTATGGATGACTGATGAGTCTCATTTACACATAAACTTGTGATCTCTCTGTACAAAATTCATGATTTCTCTATACAAAAGAAAAATTGCATCACATGAAATGAATGCAATTGTAATTAATACAGTTCACCAAATATAACCAAATACAACAATGAATGTAATTGTAAATAATACAGTTAACCAAGACAAATATGTAGCCTAGAGTAAGCATGAGAACCCTATAAAATGTATTTACTGTACTCATTTACAGGGTTTATAGGCGACTCCAGTCAGAACTGAGAGGAACATTGGGGAAAATATTGTCCCAGAGGAGGGGAAAAATCAGCCCTTTTTATCTGATTCATTTGGCTGGCAAATGTTATTGGGAGAAGGCACTCCCCACAGATGTTCAGGCCTTGAACTATGAAGAACTTTAAATGTGCAACCAGTGTCTTGATTTGCACCTGAAAGACGGCAAGTAACCAGTGAGGCTTCCACACCATTGGTGTTGTATGGTAGTAATAAGAAGAGTCCATAGCTACTTGGACTGCTGTATTCTGGACCAATTGTAATTGTGCATACTCTTCAATGGCAGCACCAAGGGGATCACACTGAAGTAGTCCAACCGAGAGCGACTGTGAGCAAAGACTCCCGTTCTAGGACAGGTCACAACTGTCACATCAGATGAAGCAATGAAAAGGGCCTCCTAGCTGTAATAGCCACTCAGGTAGGAGTTGTGAATCCAGTAGGAGTTATAAGCCAGTTCAGTACTGGGGAGGGGGCATAACCCCATCCAGAATTAAATTTGGAGTCTCTTTGGAGTTGGACAGCTTGCAAACCCAGAGCCATTCTGTCTTGCTCGGATTAAGCTTTAACCTGCTCCTCCCCGTCCAGATTCAAACATATTTACCCAAACTGTAAAGAAACGAATGAATGATGAAGTGAAAATGTGTTACCTCCATATCATCTTTAAACAAGGCTGGGGCTGGTTTGTATTCTGGGTCTTCTACGTCCCTAAGAAACACATTCAACACACATGTGTAAATGATATGAAATTGAATAACTATCATTTAATTACTAAAAATAATGAGAATGATGAAATGAGCTTATTTGTAAGAAAAAGCAAGTACTACCAAAGAACTTGAGTCTAATCGTCCAATATCTCTGTTCTTGAAACTGTGTTCATTGAGAAAGACCACTTGCTGAAGTTACACTTAAATCTCGAATTATCATAACCTTGTGGGGAACAGATTATGGTCCTGAAACCTTCTGCTTTCCAAAGTATATCATAAATCAATGAGACAATATTCTCAATGAATCAAATTACTAACTGGGGTAGCATTTGCATGGGTGCTAAAAATGGCAACTGGCTTCCAAAAGAAGTTTATAAATTCATACCCGTCCATATAATCATTTGCTCTCTGCTCTGCAGCCACGGCCTTATCATCTGGTTTCCCCACTCTTTCCAAAAAGCAAAGGGCAGCATCGGCTCTAATTGTGTTGTATTTTTCATAACCTGGAAAGAAATGTCTTCTGAATATAGCCTTCAAGACAACGTTCACCAAAAAGCAAGCAAGCAAGCAAGCAAGCAGATAATGTCCTTATGGCTTACCATGTTTAAAAACACCTATCAACAGAGATTTATCTGCTTCTGTATCCCACCATTCAGCTGGCACTTCAGAGTGGTCTGGTTCCGGGACCCAAATATCAATTTCACTGAAAGGTTTAGCCAGAAAGCAGGTGTTAAGTCTTCCCATCATGAGATATAAACTTTCATGCAACAAAGAAAGGTGTAATATATATAAGTAATTAAATTTTAAATTAAAAGCATCAAAAAGTCTGTTAAAACTCATCTTAATTCAAAAGCTACTAACGTTACTTAATTTTGACCAAGGAATAAAAGAAACAAACTTAATATCATTTACCTGGAATCAACTCCTTCAAAAACTTTCTGGAATTCATTACCAATGACTTCTTGCTTCAAGTAATATAGCATTCTAACTCGAAGTAAAACCCTGAATATGCACGTAAAGATAAATATAAAGCTGTTTGAAACATTCAGATAGTTTTTATTTGAAAGAGTTCTTAATTTAAAATATGTATGAAAATATGACCAACAATGACCATAAAATATGACCAACAACATCCTATGATGATTTATCCTCTAACACCACACAATTTTGGTTCATTTTTCCTGGCAAGATTCTAGATTGCCTTTTTTTAAAAAAAAAATCCTTAAAATATAATTTGATCTTTGTGTGTTTCATTTAAACTTAAACAGTTGAACATAAAGTCAAGATGTTTTGAGACATACCCCAAAAGCCTGAAGGGAGAAGTTAAACCAATTGTGCTTCACTAAATCCAGAAAATGAATGGACCACTTTTGAAAATATAAAAATGCAAGAGCTTCTGCCTATATAATGCTCTCTGCTAATGTTTTAAGACAATATATGGCAGTATGAAATTTTGTCAACTGCCTCCAAACTGGGAATTGAAAACAAGCCTTGAATGAGTAGAATATTTCTCCCAAAAGATACAGGTGTATCCTAAATCTCTCTCTCCTTCTCTTAGGCATTTAGCGCCATTTCAAGATATACTTGCACATGGAGAAGGCTGGTAATGGTAACAAAATCATTACCATTAACACTTACGTGTTTCATTAAAAAAAGTCAACATTAACTCATTAGGTTTAGCAAAATGATTTGTTTATATTTCTAGAAGATATATTTTAAATCTCATTCACAATTACTTTTTATAATATTCCAAGGTTTACAGTGCTACTTACTTATTACAGTGGTGTTTTATGTGCTTTTTATACCCATCATCTTGCAACAAATGTTCCGGATTGTACTTGCGAAGCCACTCGGCTTTATGTATATCAAATGTGCTTGTTTGGGTCTTAACTTTCTTTCCTTTTCTGCCCCTGGGGACGGGGGCTGACAAACCTAGGCCAAAGAAGAATAGAAGGCAGGAACTTACATTTTTAATTACAGTTTATTAGAATCACGTTTGAGTAATAAATTCTTGTTTTAAAAAGAGCTTTTTGTTTGCTTGCTTGCTAACAGTAATATCCTACAAAAGAGGCTTACCTAAGTGATTCTGTAATTCTCGAGTCTGCCCATTCTCAGTCGGTGTAATAAGATCCCAGATAAAACTTTTAATCTTTTCATCTCCTCTATAATGGACAAGGCAATAGGCTAGGAGGGCTCGGCAAATTATCTCCACATCTTGTTCGTTTAGCTGCCTCTTGAAGCGCCCATGCGATAAAATTTCTCTCCAACGACCCCACCTATTTTATTTTAATTTTGAACATTTGAAACAAAAGCGACATACTTCAGATGACTTTTTATGCGTTAACTCCCAGTTTTCTTAATTAAATGCATATTCTGGATTCCTTCATTACTATAAATAGATGACAGGATTGGCAATTCAGGTTGTCAATCACTCATCAGAATGCCATTAAGGATGCAAAGATCTGAATAACTGTTATATGGAACATTTTAAACTATTTTAATTCTATGCGTTCTACCTTACAATATGAACTGGATTTTTTTTGGTCTATGACCAAGGACCATATAGCTTGATTTCAGTATTTGCTGAATGATAAAAGTTTTGTGATCAGTACAATCTACTCTTACAAAACACTATGTTATTTTGTTAAATTACATTATCGGAACCACAAACATCAGAAGAAATAGGGTAAAGTGAGACAATATTCTTTTTAAAAGGCACATTTTTCTTATACTATTCCAAAGCAAAAGAAAAAAAAATATCTTACCCATAAACTAGCAGGTTTTTTTCAACCCTAAAGCATTCTGTTCTCCCATATCCACTGGAGCGATCACAAGGTCTTCTGAGTTTTGGTTTATCCTCTCCTTCACTTTCAATGTCAGACAACTCAGCGAGTTCATCTTTCGTAGCATTAAAAGGTCTTGTTTGCTTCCTAATTCTTGGGGTGTCAATAACCAAGCTATTCTGCATAATATAAATAAATGTGCATTTGAAAAATCTCTGCAGATTAAGGCAGACAGGTTCCTAAAGCTCAAATTTCCAAAGCTTGATGGTTATATAAAGAGTACTGCAAGAGCTTATATAAACCAGGATAATTAATCCATGCCTTTCCCTTAAACCTGTCTGGCTCTTCAAAAGATCCATAAAGTCCAGTGTCTTTCAGATGGTTTTATAAACAAAATATGCATATAATTGTAGTATTTCACCATATTCCACACAGAATACTATTATCCATAAAAAAAATGCTCAAAGCTATTATAATTTATTTTATAAAAAGTTAGCCATGGTCACCCAGAAAATACACTCGTAAATTTAATTGAACATATACTTACTCTACCACTGATGGCATCTATGTCTATTTCAGCTTTTTTGGCCCATTTCTGCCAGAAGTTGGGGTCATCTAATGAAATATCTGTTCTGTTTCCAGATGCAACAAAACTAGCCTGAAATAATAAACAATAAAGCACTATAATATACTAATTCTTTTTAAGGTAGGGCGAATTAGGCAAGATTGTATCTTAATGCTAGGAATGAATTCCATTTGCAGGATCAGATACTTTATCAACTGTTACACATGATACAAATGTAAATAAGTATTCTTTAGTGGATTCAAATTAGCCACACAGAATTATTTAGAGGTAACATCTCTTTTTTTTTAAGCATAAAGTTTTTCCCATTCTGAGTGAAGCTCTAGGGGTTTAAAAACAAAACAGACAGTTCCAAACATTTGGGAAATTTTAAGCTCAACAGAGTGTTCTTGAGCTTAAATACTACCAAAATATTCAAAACAACCCATTCTGTGCTCAAAGCAATTCAAAACAAAACATTTTGTACATCTTTTAAGAACGTCAGGGCAGTTCTGAGCTCCCAGAATTTCCTTAGTGCCCTGTGAAAAAGGCACATTTTATACTTGCTGAACAGTTTGTAACTACCTTAGCGAAAGTAGAGCCTCTCCCTTCAGATTCAATTGTGATTGTTTTTGTGCGGCGTTGCAAGATTTGATCGATATCTTCTTCACAGAACTTAGAGCCTTCATCCTCTTCATCCATAATGGCGCCATACGCACCTCTTCGAAGCAAGTCTTCAATTTCCTTTTTGGAAAGTTGCTGGATCTGAAGAAATAGGATTTGGGTACATTTAAAAGAGCAAGAAAAATAATTTTGTTTACTCATGCATAACAAAAAATGCTTCTTCTTTAATCATACATGTCATTTAATAAAAACAATTTCTTTCTACCTTTATCGTAAATATTCCAAAACATTATGTTATTCTGGTATATTTTAATATAGATAGTCCTTGACTTACGACCACAACTGAGCCCGAAATTTATGTTGCTAAGTGAGAAAGTTGTTAAGTGAATTTTGCACTGTTTTACAAGCTTTCTTGTAATGGTTGTTAAGTGAATCAATGCAGTTGTTACTAACAGGGTTGTTAAATGAATCTGGCTTGTCAAAAGGTTGCAAAAGGGGATCACATGATCTCAGATATTGAAACTGTCAATAAATATGAGTCAGTTTCCAACCGTCTCAATTTGGATCACATGACCATGGGGATGCTGCAACAGTTGTAAGCATGAAAATGGTCATGTTACTTTTTTTCAGTGCCGTTGTAACTTTGATTGGTCACTAAATGAATGGTTGTAAGTCGAGGAATACCAATATAGGGCTTTTTAGCTGTGCCACTAGAAATAAAATCCACCCATGGTTTCTTATTTAAATAGATGCACAGTTTTAAGAAATTCCAGGCTGTACTTTGCAAGCTCTCCTTTAAGTCAGACATCTAAGGACGGAATGCAACATCGCCACAAAAATGTTCTCTCTTTAAGATAGTCAACTTTCTAACTCAAGTTTGTTGCAAAATGAATGAATGGTAATGAAAATAAAGAGAACAAAGAAATGGTGCAAAGTTTTATGAGAGGCTTCGTGATTAAAGATTTCCTCTGGAAATTGGTTGGGGGGGAAAAGCACTTTTTCTTCCTTTCCGTTTTTTAAAAATATTATTTTTTAATTATACATTTTCCTTTACATCATGTTTCCATTTCTGCAATGACAGTGTACTGTCTGTATCAAATCTCTTTTGAATACACCTAATATCATACACCAGTTATAGCCATTATTTCATAATATATACAATACAATCTTCACTTCTAGCTGCTCTATACAATTTAATCTGTAATCAAATGTACTCCTATGATAATATTACTTGTAGTGTTTTTATATATATATATATATATAAAATCTCCACACCACAAGCCAGGCAAACACCTGGGCACAAACAGATCCCCCCTGATACCTCCAGCTCAAACACACCCCAACCAGGCACCCAGATGAAACCCAGCTTCCTAACTAATGATAGCCGTCCATTTACCCGAAGCCAAGCTGCACTAAAGACCTCCATTAAAGCAACACAATGCTGCCAGCCAATCAAGATACAAAAAGAGCCAAAAAACAGACAGAAGATATTAGAGACACCAATCAAGCAGAACACAGCAAACTCCGAGACCAATAAACACAGACCAAGACTCCCAACCAATCAGGATGAAGAAAAAACCATTCTGGCACAGCAATAGGCTGCCCCAAATT